TGAGATGCACAATCACTTCAGAAAGGAAAATACAGTAAGTGCAACATTGGGTACCGCAAGAAATTATATAATGAGAACATAATTATGTGCTTGGGACGTGGATTTTAATGGTGAGACTTTTGTTTTTATAATTAGGCTCTCAAAATGTATATAAAAATGTGGATTTAGATTTTTCGGCCAATATATCGTGTATCAGCTTTCAAATATAAAGAATTATCAGTTATCGGTATTGGCCAAAATTTTCCCATCGGTGCAAGGTGCATCCCAGTTACTACTACTTTTAATTATTACTATTAATCCAATAGTGACTTTTTTCAAATCATTACACTGAAAATAATTGTGTGGGATTCACTTTTTCAAATTTCAGACAAATTTCACTCAGAAATGACTAATAAATTTCACAAATTATTACAAAGAGATGGCAAGTAATACACTGAATTAAAAGTGAAATAGCCATAACCATACCCCAAATAAACTTTGAAAAATCAATATTGACTAGTATCTATATTTAAGTAGTCACTCGATCATAATCACCCCATACAAGTTTTTTTCTCGTAAAAAAATGCTATTTTTGTGTCTTAATTCAGTCAAGATCTGTGAGTGGAATTTCAATTGTTCACATTAGAATATTGAATTCCATTTGTTGCTGGTACCATCAATTTCAGTGTCTACTACTTGTAGAAATATACTATAAGAGTACATTCGATTATTTATAAATAGTTTGTTACAATTTCAAATCTTACTAGTAAGACTTTAATTTAAGTTCTGACCAAACACAAACATGTAACGTTAACTACTGAGATAAGAAATGTTACTGTTGACATTGCTTTACTACTGGTAGCAAGTACTGGAATCTAATAAGTATTGGAATACTAGTAATTTAAAGAAAGTACTAGTAACAAAAAACATACTAGTTAGTTTTAAGGAATGAATGTAAAAATTGGTTGCAATACGAAGAGGTCATTGGCGATTGCACTGACTGCATGAAGAAAAAATAACTTCCCCGTCGCGGTTACAGTTCCTTACCTGACTTCGCTCGAAGTTTTCCTTTTCGGCTTCCAAACTGTTGGCACCACCAGTGCGACGGCTGAGCACTTTAGGAATCGGGTTGGGGACTTGCTGCATGGAACTCTTGACGCGGTCCATTCTGGAAAGAAAATCCAAACAGCGCGAGCGACGGAGACTTCTTAAACCAACATAAATAGAGTGTAATATAACGTGATTGAGTCTAGTGATGAGCACGAAAAATCCAACCCCTCGTCGTTATCACAAAAGGTCATTTTCTACGTCCACCGCCCATGAATATCATCCCAGTGCTGTCCGCTGTCTACTCGGGAGCGTGCAAAACACGCGTCTCTGCGCGCGACCACAGATCTGTAAAACAGCGAAAACACAGCGTCAGTTCGCGCGATATACTATACAGATCAACTCAAGCAAAAGCAGAGACTGTCAAAGGCTCCTCCCAGCTCTCCCACACACACTGACTGGAGGAAAATCATTAGCTCCCGCCCTTCAGAACAGTTATCTGGATAGCTACACACGTTTCTCAGTGCATATTTCTATGAATATTTCTCAGATTTATTCGATTTTACAATTTTATGTGCTATTAAATAACGTATTTTGGTATAACAGTAAACACGAAACTTAAAAAATCAAATGAAAATGAAAATAATAAATTTATAATAATAATTAAGCACAGTAAAAAAACATAGTCTCTCTGAACAATTTAATCAAATACACATTTGAACCAATGCATGAAATATGAATGCTACAAAAACATTCGTGTTTAGATTAGTGTTTTTCGGCCTATTACAAAAATAGTAATTTAGTTTATTTTATTTTTAATGCATTTAATACTTTTTAATACCATGTAGGCCTAGTATATTTGATTAATTTTAAAAAATTACAAAACACATGTAAGTCTTTTTTAAACTTAGCACATTTAGCCTACTTACAAGCATATTTTAGAGAAGTTGAGAACTGAAACAGAGGCGCCTTGTGTTAACCTCAAAATAATAATAAACCCTTCAACTTGACATTCTCCTGAGGCCCATATCTATCTTTAACTTGTTTTTGTTTCACTTCTAAGTTAAGCAAGTTATTTGGTCTTCAGAAGCATGCGCCTATGGCGTATAGTAACCATATTCTAGATTTGCCTGTCTGATTTATGTGATTTAATTTGTTTTCCCTTCATATTTGCTGCACCAATTAATCTCATTATTCCTTTATCAACAAATATCATGTTAAACTTTTATTGTCTGCTAATTCTGGTTGCATAACTCTATTAGATATCAGGGGCACCTGCAATCGCTAACTGTGTCCTATCTCTAAATGGGCAGAGGCCAGATTCAATTTCCCTGCTAAGCAAATTCTATCAAATGGCCGAGTCAGAGTTTTGTTTCAATGATTCAGTAATGACAGTGTGAAGTCTTAGTCTGTGACCTGAGTGATCATTATCTTCTCTGCTGTCAGCACAAGATGCCAGCCGCAGTCAACATCACTAAAATGTCAGCAGAGGAACCTTGAAAACTATATTGCTTTACTTTAATTTGAGGGTGGGCATTTCCTCTCAGAACACTGCAATGCATGAGCACACGTTGCCTGCTTTTGAGTATTTATGAGCACTGTCCTAAATAGTGTTATTGTCCCAATGTAACGTGTCTTGTGTCTATACTGACACTATCTGACATGACACTTTAAGTGTGTGTGTTGTTCTGCTGATGTTCTGCTGACTCAAAAATCCTATTCATCTTAACAAGGCCCACACTAGACCTAGGCTATATTGGTCTGACATGCATTTTAAGACCAACCACATCCTAAAGAATGGTGACTGCAAAGCTAAGAAAATTTGTTGAAATTAAATTAAGATATTTGATAAATATGATATAACAATATGTTGTTATATTATATTATATTATATTATATTATATTATATTATATTATATTATATTATATTATATTATATTATATTATATTATATTATATTATATTATATTATATTATATTATATTATATTATATTATTATATTATGTCACTGTCCTTGTGTGATTTTCCAACAACTGTAACATTGTATATCTTAGTTTGTGTCATATTACATATACAACATAGATCCCAAATGTGTCAATCTGCCATATAAACAAATTGACAGGATGGTTTTGATTAATGAGGTCTAATTCCATGTGTTTCGGTGTTTCTTGTTTACTTTTACAAGCCACCATGATGGGACATGGGGTTGGTTGGGTGGTTGTTTGGCCCAGTGTAAATAATTAAAGGTTCTTTGGATAATGTACAAAAATATAACATCTGAATGTTTGCCCTCTTGCCCTATGAAATACTTTCAAGGATCATACATTAATCATAGCCTATGTATCATAAAAAAAAATAAAAAATAAAAAAAAATCTTGGGTTGGTTGGGACAATTACAAAAAATAACTTTTTTTGTAATTGTCCCAATTCAAGCATTTAAGCTTTCATCTGCTCCTAGTTATCTATTAAAGTTAGTTTAAACCTGATATATTTATCAAAGAATACAAATTGTGGAACCAACCTTTAGATATGATAATGCTTCTAAAGGAAAGTTCTTAATGCTTTTAATTTAGCTACATCTAGTGGTTATACAACGCAACAACACTCACATGATATATTTAAATATTTTGATATTTGTATTGAAAGTGTTTACAAATAAAATATAGCAGTACATTTTAGCTGACCAGTTTTGCTGAAGTTAACAATAATAGGCCTTCTTCAACACAATACATAGGCCTATAGCCTATATCTTATCAAAAAGTTCTTATTCAAGAGAAGAAATATATAGATCCTATTAACTGTAATTCTGTGGTAGGGTCTTTAATGGTTCACTCGTGGGCCAAATAAAAGAAAAAAATATGATAGCAGCAACGTGTTTGTCATTGAAATAGAAAATCACCTCACTGACTCTTTTGAGTCGGTTCTTTTCATTGAATCGGTTCAAGGGGCGGAGTCGGATCCAGATCTGAGGGGTTGAGTTGGGTAGGTTTAGGGGTGGATTTAGGGATCAGGGGGTGGAGCTGGACAGGTTTAGAGGTGGGTTTAGGGATCACGGGGTGGAGCTGGGCAGGTTTAGGGGTGGGTTTAGGGATCAGGGGGTGGAGCTGGGTAGGGTTTGGTGTTTTTAAGGTGGGAGGAGTTGGATCTGGATCCGACGCCTCTCCGTGGATGTCATGTTCTGCAGTGGAACGGTTCGCTTATGAATCATTATTCTGTTTTTCACTCAACAAGTCCAACTAAACCGAAAAGTGTTTGTTGGGGCAATGTATAGTGTATAGCTAAATGTATAGTGACCATCCAATCATCATTTTAAATTTCCGGCTTTCTGTAGAAGTCTAATTTATATTCTCCAGGTTTGTGAGGTGTCCTTCAGTAGGCCTACAATACAAGAGCCTCTTCCAGTTCTAATAGTGATAATAGTATAGACTACAATATAAAGTAGGCCTATACATTAGCCTAAATATACTTTAATTTTACTTAAGTATACTTAATAAAATTAACTTGAAGTATAAGCAACTTTTTCGTAAGTTTATGATGATGATGTCAGACAGATGAACACATCTTCAGAATGACAAAGTCCATGTTACAATATTTGATCTTTTAATCAGTAGCGCAACAAATGGGCCTGACATCACCTGAACTCTACTGTATGTTTGAACTTTCACCCAGATAACTCCGTTATTAGGTCAGCAAAACAGGAAGTTGCTGCAATATCCCAGACAGTTGTCATTATTCACATACCATGCTCCTGTCACAAGTTTAAGACGTGAAAAGATTACTTTAAGCACGTAACCATGAATGATTTTCACAGTGACAGGCTCTCTTAAATGTTTGAGAACTACCAGAAAATTGTGCTAAATAGTTGACTGATCTTTGGACACTGGTTTAGCCTATGTCATTCACATCGTACAGTGAATTCCCCTCAGCACACGACCTTTGGACTACATCACTCGTCGCGACGTCATCGAGGCTGTCATCAGAATTCCTTCCTATAAAATCCGGAACAGTCGCTCAATCCTCATTAAAGCAACTGAGAGTCGGTTTATGAATTTTGTTCAGACAGCACAACAGGTAAATTATGCTTTTGGTAACATTTTATGGTGTCGTTACATTGTAGCCTACTCAAATAACTTCATATATTTACTATAGAGTTATGTTAGCGTTTGGTTTAGTATTAATTTGTAATTATGCATAATTTACTGTTACTAGTACACGTAGTAACGTAATACGTCACATTACCATGTTTTTTTTCTTTTGCTGATTTGTAAACCTTTTATTGTGTGTTCATTGTTATCTAACCGTTAAAATTTGTTTATGTGATATGTCTACTGGATTAAATAACATTTTGATTAAAGTTTAAGTAGAAGTAAGAATGCTGAAGTAAGAATGTCAGTTTTGATCTTTTACAGATTTTCTACAGTGACATGGCTTCTGTGGACATTGTGAACAACCAGGTGTGCCATTTAATTCTCATTCAAATTAATTATTAATACTATAAAAAATAAAATATGTTTGTTGGTGTGAACATCACTTAATCTGTTCATCCCTGTCCGTTCCTTTCTAGAATGTGGTTGACCGGATAGTTCACCTTCCCTTGGTTATTTCCACCTATGGAATGGTGTCAAATGTGTACTGCAACACCAAGAATAACTATCCTTACTTGAAGTCTGTATGCGAGGTGGCTGAGAATGGTGTGAAATCCATAACCTCAGCTGCTTTTTACAGTGCTTTACCAATCATTGGCAAACTAGAGCCTCAGAGTAAGTCGATTTGTTTTTCAGCCAATTTGAGATCAGGACAGATTATTACGGTGTAAAAATGTATTTACCAAAAGTTATTGTGTCCCTCTGTAGTCTCTATGGCAAATGACCTGGCGTGCAAAGGACTGGATAAGATAGAGAAGACTCTGCCGATCCTACACAAGCCATCTGATCAGGTATTTAGTAAAGTCCACATTAATACTGTCTAAATGTTAAGCACAAGGAAAGTACCACAGTTTTAAGCACTGCTCTAATGCATTGTTCTCTTTCAGATTGTCAAAGAGGCAGTGACGGGAGCCAAGGAAGCTGTCAGCGGTACCATGAACGGTGCCAAAGAGTCCCTCGGTGAAGTGATGGACCGAACACGAGGGGTAGTTCATGGCGGTGTGGAAAAGACCAAGACAGTGGTTAGTGGACGAGTCCAAACAGTGATGGAGAGCAGGGCAGTGAAACTGATGAGCAACAGAGTGGACACAGCACTGAGCACATCTGAGACTCTGCTGGAGCAGTACTTACCTGAAACTGAGGAGATGAAAGGTAAGGGGTTGATGGACCATGTTTTTTGGTACTAGAATGTATTGATGGTATTTATTTAGACTGTGACTTAAAGTTGCTCAGCTTTAGAGTAGTTTCTAAAAGATGGCCTCTTTTCTCCCGTAATGTGTGATTGAAACGTCTTGTTTTTAACGGGACTTGATTTTGTCCATTGGAATTGTTTGGATTGTTGTGGTTCGCTATTGGTCGATCTCAAGTGAGTGACAGGTTGCCCTGCCCTCGTGCAAGTAAACTTGTCATCAGAGAAGAGAAGTTGCTGAATTTTGTTCATCTGTGGAACACAAAGAAATGTTTGGGGTCAAAATGTTATTTCATTGAATTTCATTATATGAATGCAAAGTAAAAAAAAATCATGATTTTAACTAAATTTTTTTAATAAAATATATATTTGTGAGCTATCCCTTTATTCTTTTATAAAAATCCTCTTGCACTTTGAGAACTGCACATATAAGATTCTTCATATCTTGTGATAGTCTTGGGATGTGCTACTTATAAGGTATGGCTTTTGAAAGAATATCCTTACTGTATGTTCTGATATGAGTGTCAAAAGACTGCATTTAGTACTAGGAATTATTTTCCTGAAATCCATTTTCCTGGAAAAGAAGTATTATTCCCATTCATGTGTGGAACATTAGATTTAAGCAAATCTCAAAGAGATCGTTGACTAGGAATCTAAAATGAATTATTGTTTCAAGAGCCTCACTAATCTTTATTTATAAAATGCCAATGGAAATTATGAAATTAACAATTGCATCTTTGTCCTGTTTCTGTGTTTGTCCTTTCAAAATCTCTCAGAATGTGAAGGGAATAACAGTGATGCACCCAGTTACTATGTGCGACTGGGGTCTCTTTCCAGCAAAGTCAGGGACAGGACGTACCAGAGAGCTGTAGATAAGGTTTGTAATGACATGCAACACAGTCCAGATCTCCGCTAAACCACACCATGGATAAAAGGTCAAAATGATGAGATAAAAAGTAAAAATTGACATATTAAGTCCTACTTATTACAATAAAAAAAGTGTCATAATTATGAATGCTAAAGATTAAGGTCAAAATTATGACAAGTTAAAATTGTGACAGTCATTATTTTGACATTTTATGTAATAATTGTGACAAAAAAATAAATATTTAGAAATTATTACATACTTAGTCATAGTTGTGAGATAAAAGTATGAAATTATGACATACTAAGTCATAATTCTAACATATCAAGTCATAATAATGAGCAAGATGTAAAAAAAATTGATAAAAAGTCAAAATTATGACTTTTTTGTCCAGCCTTTTATTAGTATGTCATAATTTGCTTTTTATCTCATTATTACTAAGTCAAAATTGCGATTTTCTTAATGTTATAATTTAATCGTTTTAATGTCACAATTGAAAAGCCATATTTATGTTTTAGCCTACGTCATAATTTCGACCTTTCATTTTATAAATTACTTCATGACTTCAAAATGTTTGACTTTTCATTGCATCAATTAGTTAGTATGTCTTAATATCCACTTTCTATCTCATAATAATTATAACTTAGTATCTTATAATCATGGTTTAATGTCATAATTCCGACTTTTTATCTCATATTGTACATATGATTCAGTATGTCATAATTTCAACTTTTTCTCTCATAATTATAATTTACGGAAGCATTTTGTTTTCTTATGTGGGGGCAAAGGGCTTCCATACAATAGACAGTCTCCTAATGTTATTTCCTTTTCTTATTAGATTGAAAATACCCGGAAGAGTATTGATGTGTCTAACCAGAAGCTACATCGGAAACTGAGTTCACTGATGGGCTGGAAGACTGGGAGTCAGAGTCAAGAAGAGAACGAGACAGTCACAGACAATGAAGCTGAGGTACCCGATATATCTGACTGGAAATTATCTCAAAGATACAGTCTGAGATGTGAAGTTAACATGGTTAAATGCTTGGATCTCATTTTCTCTCCTGCAAATGTTTTTTAATCAGCAAACAGAATCACACACACTGACCATTGTCTACAACCTCAGCCTGCAACTTCAGACCACGTATCTGGTCTTGGTGTCCAGCCTCAAAAGTCTCCCTCAGCACGCCCAGGTCCAGGTGGCCTCTGTCAGCCACTCAGCCATGGAAGTATACAGCAGCTTCAGTAAGACAGCCGTCATAGAAGATGTGTCCAGTACCATACTCGTCATCAGTCGATCTCAGCTGAGCAGAATAGGAGATTCCATGGACAACGTCATGGACTACCTGCTCAATAATACACCTCTCAATTGGCTGGTAGGTCCGTTTTACCCACGCGCGGCACGCAGTACTTCAAACGGCCCTAAATGTAACAAACAAAGGACCCTTCAGCCTGAAGTGGAGATGCAGTCAGTGCATGAGGACCGATGAAATTTCAGGATATTAAACATTTGTTTATATCTTACAATTATACGTACAATCACACATTCCTGCCAATAAAATCCAGTCAAATATTTTATGTGAACAATCATATTAGATAAACAGCATTTTAATGAATAATGTTTCTGAAGTATTCTAAGCCTTATCCAGTTAGGCATAAATAGTGCCTTTTACACACTATTTAATCTGCTGTCGTTTATTGTTTTTGTACATTTCTAATAAAAACTTACACTTACAATATCTATCTTTGTCATGTCTGTTGTTTTGAGGATGGAAATTTCACCTCGACTATATTTTATATTTATTTTTAGTGTTCAATATTTGTATACAGAACACTACATGGTGTAATGGACATGGGGTTAAGATGTGGTCCCCAACTCATTCCATAACCCTCATCTTTTTTTTGTGTCTTTTCTTTCTGGATTTAGTTTTTAAGACTATTGTCTTGAATCTTAATTTTCAGGTACCTCAATAATAAACATGAAAAAGCGGATAACCTTGTCCGATTTCATCTTTTCAGATCTGATATCAGAGCCCGATATGGTCTATGTGGAGGGTTTGGAAAAATCTGAGAATGATACAGAGCATCATTTACCAATCAAACATTCAAGTCCTATAATTATTTTGCAATCCAATAAACCATTAAACATATTTTATAGCCTACTTACCGTCACCCACACAGTGGCTCAGTGGATGGCACTGCCACCTCATAGCAAGAAAGTCCCAGGTTCAAGCCCCGGCTGAGTCAGGAGTCTTTTCTGTGTGCATGTTCTTCCCGGTGTCTCCCCTGTTGCTCTGGATTCCCCCCATCAGTCCAAAGACATGCAGGTGGGTGGACAGTCTTTGCCAAAATTGTTGTGTGAGTGTGAATGTGTCCCAGAACTCTCAATGCTTGTGTCAGGGCATCTGATTTTTTAATTTCCTTTCCTTTCCTAAGTCACCTTTAAAAAGTATAGGATATGGGATTGTTGTGGATATTATGTATAATAGCTTGCAATTGAAAAGTGTCTTGAATACAGACAACCTCATTCTAGTATCATATTTCATGTCAGAAGTCTCTGTAGAACATTTCAGACCTCTCCAACTCAACATTTTCTAATGACTGGTCATATTTTATTGACCATTTTATTGAATTTCTATGAATTTAAGTCTGTTAACATTGGATCAATCAGAAATAATAAGTTGAGCCAATTGAAAAATTTGGTTTACCAACCCGTGCTGTTGGTCCAAAATCAAATGTTTTAAATTGTAGTAGCAATTGTTTCACGAAAAGCAAAAATACATTAAACAAAATACAAAACACAGACAACAGGTTTGACATTTACATCTTAAGCACAAATGGAATCAGGATAATAGGCATTGCATAAATATTCTTGTATATTTATTTTACATATTACTTGATATATATTAATTCTGTCTTCATTAACATTTATTTTAACAATAAAATAAACACTACAAACAAACACAGGTTTCAGGTAATCACACATTAATTAATACTTAGTCTAGTGAGCTTTCATAGATAGCCAAGACATAGAATAATAGACTTATAAATTACAGTGTGTATGCATCTCACAATTGACCTAACTTGTTCCACTAAAATAGTTCAATTAAGAGTTAAAATGGTATACAATAAGGTTTCATTTGTTAATATTAACTACATCAGTTAACATGAACTAACATTTTACTTACTTAATATTAATTTTAACATTCACTGTAAAAAAAAAAAAAAAAAAAAATGCTGCCTTAAATTTAATTTAGTAAAATCAACTCGGATGTTTAAGTCATTTTAACTTAAATTACATTAAACTTAAAAAATGAGTTGAATCTGGTATAGAAAAAAGTAGAAATTTACTTTGACGAGTTAAAGCAATTCAAAAACATGTTTGTCATAACTTATTAATCATATAATGTTTTACAGTGTAGCCTACATTATCGAAAGAAAAAACATTGTATCTGTTAATATTATTTAAAGGACCTGATCTATTGAACTATGAATGAACAGTTGCTTTTGCATTGACTAAATGTTAACAAAGATGAACAAATAGCGAAAGAAATGAATTGCTCGATGTTAGTTGATGTTAATTAATAAATGGGAACCTTATTGTAAAGCCTTTAAAATGAAAAAAAAAAAAAATCAGTTTCAATTCACTTGAAAACTATTAGATGAAATGATAGGAAAAGAGTAATGAGGCTTAGCGGAGGCATACTCATTGTGGCTTTACCTATGTGAGTCAGAGTGAAAGAAAGAAAAAAAGAAAAAAAAACGGTCAGAAACAAGTATTTCTTCCTTTCCAATCAAAGGTATGTTTAATTCAAAAAAAGCTGTCAATGATTACACGTGTGTACTGCTTACCTAATGCAGAATGTCTTTGCAGAGTATTTGTTTCTTTTACAAGCACAGGTTCTGCAATTAAGAAAAAGACTGATATTAACACAGTCTTGCAACAGGCCATAACAGGTCAAATAAATGTTCCAAAAGGGTTTTCGCAAGTGATGCCATAGATAGAAGAACCATTTTTGGATTCGCCATTTTTGGATCATTTCAGTGAACAGTTCTAAAGAATATTTTTCCACTATTTTGTGAAATGGAAATGTGCTAAGGATATTAAAGGGAACAATAGAAGCCAATAAAGAACCTTTATTTTCAAGGTGTAATGTACTGATGGAAAGTTACCTGTAACTGCGACCTTCGTTGTGCTGAGCGCCAAACCCTGTGAGTCTAGAACTTTGTATGTTCCGGCACTGCTGGCCGTAACCGCCCCAAAAATCAACTTGCCGTCTCTTTCTTTTGGATAACCTTTCTTGCTTATGCGTGCACCTCTTTCCCACAAGACTGACCAGCTGGTGTCATTACTGTTTTGAAAAATCATTTGCTCAGCTTGTTGCGTGTACAGATCCAGGATCAGCTCTTCTCCAGTCTTCACAGACTTAATGGTCTTGTGATCTGGGAAGAGACAAACCAGCATCAATTTAGATATTCTGCTGCATGCTATATACAAACCAAGTGTTTTGACATATATGTATTGCCCCTATTCGATTCCAGTTTAAATGCTCACTGATAGGCTACCCAGATTTTTTCCAAACATGGTTGTTAAAATTAAGTGTTAAACACTCACCAATAACTGCAAGTTGGACGCTCTGAATGAATACTCGGTTCTTGATACTTGATTCTCCAACCACCAGGTAACTCTCGTAAATGCCTGCATCGCTGAATCTGACATCCCGCAAGAACAGAGAGCAGTTTCCCTCCATAAGCATTTCCTTAGGCACATCTGCCCGGTCTATGTAAGCCTCTCCCTGAAACAGCTCCTCCCCCATTCGCTCGAACACTGAATCCCTTATGGTCTGCCACTGAATGTGAGGCGTGTGGGCTGTTTCCAGTTGATATGATACAGTACACGGAAGCACAGCCGGCAGACCAACCTTTGATGAGGTGTGGACAACCATTGAGAGGGGAGAGGAGCCTATAGGTATAAATTATTATTTGAAAAAAAGCAAAAATGTGTATAAATAACTTTTATCATTTGTCTACTTACCAACACAAATGAGAAGCCATGGCATTAGAATGGCCGAAACCCTGTAACGAAACGTTATTACAGAGATTTAATTTCCTTGAAACATATCTAATGGATTTTAGAGGCTGACGGTTTTGCAGTTAACATGGAACGTTCACAGAACATTCTGACATGGTTCATTCAAAGTTATGAAGAATCATTATTCCAGTACCGTAAACAATGTTCATATAAAGTTATCATGTCTTTAAATATTAAACATTCTGAGAACATTAGCACAAAAACATCCAACATCCCTTACAAAAAGTATACTTCAAGTTAATTTGAGCAGCCTGTGCTTCAGTAAAGTTCAACTATACTTTTAAGTACCCTCTTATGTAGTAAGTATACAAATATCATTATAGTACATCATTATGTACTTGTAAGTGTAGGCTATTGTTTCAATACTATACTTGGGAATAAATTGGCCCAATTTTTCTACAGGCTAAAAATAAAATGTTCCCTTTAAATTCGTATAACCAAGACAAAATGTTTTTTAAAAACTTTTTTTTTTTTAAACTAGATGTTTTGAACATTCAGAGATGATTTGGAAAAGTGAACTATCAAGTTTCTATTCAATAGCCTAGTTTATATTATTTCTGAAAAGTTGACAATAAAGTGAAAGGTGAAAATGTCAAAAGTGAAACAAACGTGAAAATGCCTTTAAATTCATCTTTTTTCAGTTTTGTTTACAGTCTATGGTTTCCTTTGAACCCGTCTTGCTCCATCGGTTTCAGTTTGTAGCAGCTGCGTTGAGGCTTTTAGCTGAAATGAAACTTACCAGTAGTAGCCAGGCTCATCCTGTAGGGGAGGCTACAGCGTATGGCAAGCTGTTTTAACATTTATTCATTTAAAACGGCTAGTAGCCTATCTATTTTCTTGCTAATAGTACTTATTTTTTTTAGATACTAGTATCTATTCCATTAAGTACTAGTTACCTACTTATTCATTACATACTAGTGCCTATACTTTAGATAGCCTACTTGCTTATTCTTTAGGTATAGTACCTTTTTAAAGATAATAGTAGCCTCCTTATTCATCTGATACTAGTTCCTTTTTACAGTAGCCTACCTATTTAAAAGACACTAGTACTTATTCATTAGATTATAGTGCCTATTAAATTGGTAGGGTTAGGGTTAGTAACGAATAATGAATAACTAATGACTTATATATATATATATAGTCACAATTGGAATACATACTAGTTAGAACTGAATAGTTGATATCTGAATGACAGATCGCCATAGACCTTATTCAGAGCAGTGCCATGACAGGTATGAAAGTGAGGCTGTGAGGGATAGACTTACCGTGTTTCCAATGGCATCCGCTGTAAAAAGCTTAACAAAGAGGCTAGATTACTTACAATTTTCCACAGCTTACATTGTTGGGAGTTTTTTGTCAACTGACATTTCTTGGAAAGATATTTTTCCAGTGTTTCATGAGCAGAACAATCCGAAAACACATTAAATAACAGTACAGCCCATTGAAGAGATGCAAGTCTATCCCTCACAGCCTCGCTTTCATTCTCATTAAAAATCAAAGATTGTGGTGCTGTCCTGAATAAGGCGTATAGAAATCAATGGCAAAAAAAAAAAAAAAAAAAATTGTTACTAGTAACAAAAGAATAGTTACTAGTAGTCACTATCGAAATAGGTACTAGTATCTAATGATGAATAAGTGAAGAGTTCAGATGCAAAAGCCTCTAAGTGCCATTTGAAATTTTCTTCTAGAATGATCATTTTTATCAAGCTTGTATATTTAAGTTCAGTGATTTCACTTAAATGGCAATGATAATTACCTATTAATTGTTATTTAAGTGAAATTACTGAACTTAAATATACAAGTTTGATGAAAATCATCATTAAAGAAGAAAATTTCAAATGGCATTTAGAGGCTTTTGCATCTGAACTCTTCAAGTACTAGTATCTAATAATAAGTACTAGTACCTAATGAATACTTGTAGCCTACCAATTTAATAGGCACTAAAATCTAATGAATAAGTATAGTGTATTTTTAATAGGTTCTAGTATCTAAGAACTAGTTAAGAAGGTACTAGTACTTAAAGAATAAGCACTAGTATCTAAAGAATAGGCACTAGTAGCCTACCTAAAGAATAAGCACTAGTCAGCTAATAAATAACTAGTAGTACTAGCATGAAAATAGATACTAGTCGGTTTAAATGATTAAATGTTAAAACGGCTTGCCATATGCAATGACAGTACTCAGGACTGCAACGTTTTTTTGTTGTTGTAGTTTTTTTAAAGCAGTTTTTATACTATTTTATAGCACTCAATTATGTGTGCTATTCGGATTATGCTAATCAACAGAAACGTTTAAAAAACCAACAAGCGATGTTGATTCGAATTTTTACATTTTAAGAATGTGACAATTTCCTCAGAATATCATCTTGTATTCTAATGTGTTGGTATTAAATAGGTTTCTCACCTGTTAATTCTGTCCATGTCGCATTTGTGCAGGCTCCTGCTCCTGTCAGACATGCTATGACTGTAAACAACTCAGCAGAGGCATTATCTACAACGGTCCCTCTCCATTTCTCAAAAACGAAACTTACGCTGCATTAGTTTTAATAGGTTATGGGTTTAACCAAACCGTCCACTTCGAATTTCCCCATGTAAGCTCAAATTTCACATAAACAGATGGTGAATGGCTACGATCTGAATATTATCATTTGTCAGATTTAATCAAGTCAAAATAGTTTTGAGGCTGGTCTAATTTATATCTTTAATGAAGATTTGCGGAGTAAAAACAATGTTTTTATTTTAGGTGGAAGATAAAACAAGACAAGAGCTACCTCCATTGAGTGAGCCTGCACCTCATGTGCTCAGTCAAAAAAGTCAGGACACACAGTCTGTAGTTTTTAGCCTATTTGTGAATTACTGGACATGAGTGAGTGCTCAATGTTTCAAGATAAATGTTTTAGTTTGATTATTCACACCATCCATGCTGTTCAAAAATAAAGGGATACAAAATGTTCAAGCATGGTTGTTGTTTCTATTTGCTGGATGTCAATAATCCAACAGGATAAGGAATAAAAGTTGTCCCCTGCCAAGTAATTTACTCATGTGAGTTAACTGAAAAATATTAATAAAATTAATTTAATAAATAATAATAATAATTTAAAAGTTAGCAA